AACCCTACGCCCCAAACTGAAAACCCTGGACCATAAACCCTAAACCCTAAACCCTAAACCCTACGGATCCTGGAAATGTGAGGCCGTGCGGGAGAGAAGGCACAAGTGTGCGGCTTCTGCTGCAGCTGTTGCTGCTGCTGCTGTGGCTGCTGCTGCTGCTGCTGTTGCTGCTGCTGCTGCTGCTGCTGCTGGATATGGCTTTGTCGCTGCTGACGCTGATGATGATGATGACTCTGCTGTTGTTGCTGCTGCTGCTCACGGCTTTGCTGCTGCTGCTGCTGCTGCTGCTTGAAGCCCTGTGGCCAGTCGTGAGCCCCAATCCCTAAACCCCAAACCCTAAACCCTAAACCCTAAACCCTTATCCCAGTGTTCTTACACATTACATTTTTGAAATAAAACCCTAAAATAAGATGGAAAATAAAATAAACTCAGCATCAATGATGCAGCAGGCTTTAATACCCTGGGGGCCCCCTGGGGGCCCCCCGGGGCCCCCTTGGGGCCCCCAATATGAGAGCAGCAGCAGCAGCAGCAGCAGCAGCAGCAGCAGCAGACAATAGCAGCAGTTTAGTTTGATCTAAAAAATGAATTAATCTATCAATGCAGCGTCAGTTTTGACTCTGATTTCTAAACCCTAAACCCTAAACCCTAAACCCTAAGATAGTGTCTGGAGACCCCAGGAGCCACAAGATGCTCCGGGGGTTTAGGGTTTACGGCTGATTAGGGTTTAGGGTTTAGCGTTTCGGCATAGTCACTTCAGGGCCTGACCGGAAGCACCTTCAGGCCTAGGGTTTAGGGTTTAGGGTTTAGGGTTCAGAGATTAGGGTTTAGAGCTTAGGGTCCCGGGCTTAGGGTTTAGGGTTTAGGGTTTAGGGTTTGAGAGCTGCGGCTGCGCAAGAAACGCTGGCGAGTAACTCGTTGAGCGCCTCTTAAATAAATAAATAAATAAATAAATAAATAAATAAATAAATAAATAAATAATAATGAAATAAATAAAAAATAAATAAATAAATAAATAAATAAATAAATAAATAAATAAAATAAAAAAATAAATAAAAGTAAAAAGATAAAAAAGAAGCCAAGTTGCTCAGCTGCGTGACGAAGGGCCCCAGCGGA